TGCAAAGAAAGGAATGAAAGTCACTGTAAGTGTTCCAGCAGCCATCAAAGCACCTATAGTCAACATTATTTTCAGACACTGCAGAGATTCCCAGTAGTAGGATTCACTGACTGTGGAAGAGACAAGGCAATCAAGAAGTGAGCTGAAAGGGTAGGCAGACTTATAATGGAAGTAACCAAAGAAATGCTAACACATTTGCTAAAAATAATGTTTAAAATGTTGCATTTTTTTTGTAGGAAACAGCAAGCGCGAGAATCTTATGAGCTTTACATTAGTTACCACCACATACTGGGACACATCCTCGGCCCTGCTCCACTCCCATTGTTCCTATCCAAGCTGTGCACAGAGGATGGAAAAATGGCTTAACCAGCCAGCTGGAGATTATCCTTGTTGGCTCTACAGTACCCATTCTTGAGCCCATCCCTGATATATTCTGTGTGCACACATACATGCAGACACAAATACATATATGCAAATAATGTACATAAACACTCAGACCAGCAATTTTATGCAAACAGCTCATAAATTTGCAAAATTTGATAATCTGGAGCATTTGCTTTTGACTAGAAGGCAGAGGGGGGCAAAGAACATCAAGAACAGATTGATGTTATCCATCCAGACAACATGGATCCAGGCAAACTTGGTCCACTGAACACAAAATCCATTTACTGAAATGTTTAGACAAGAGAGGTATTGCAATAGTCTGTGGTCTTCTCCCCGCCCGCCACCTTTCCCCTCCCCACAGAGAATCCTGAATCATCAACATCTGAGTCATAATTTGTTCGTCTAACATCTATGGAATTTCAACTGACTTTCCAATACATACTCCCCAAAGGATACAGGGATTGGAGAAGGGTTAGTAGACAGATTCAGTACATACGGCTACCTATGTAGCCACATACTTCCACTAAGTGTACTGGTCCCAACTATATAGTTCTCTGGGCATCTGCACTGAACATGAGCCCCACTGTGAGCTGTATAAGGAGAAGAGGGGGACCAGAGAGCACAGCTGGCTTGGTGGTCATAGTCTAGCCAGGACAGTTCTAGGTTTTTAAAGATGGTCCCAGGGCACACACAGGATGGGGAGAAAGATGTTATGTCTTGGTCCCTTACTGCAGTTACTATTCATGCATAAAAAGGGTAGCTATGGCAGGGTCCCCCAGTGCCTGGTAAGTATTTGGATCCTGATTATGGCAGATCAGGATTCCTGCCTTTCATAGCCCAATTGTTGCCCTATATAAATGTTGAATGGGAAATCTTGAACTCAGTTTTCCCATTGACTTCACTGTAGCCAGGATTTCATCCTGAGTTTGCTGGGATTGGTGAGGAGGGATGGGGGAATTTGTAAAGAAAGTATTTCCCAGGGAGTACTTATTTCCCAGTATACTCATGGGACACAGAGCTGGGCAGATGGGCACATACTGGGGGGAGGGAGAGAAGTCAGAATAAAACAAGAATAGGGGAACCCCAAACCTTTCCAATCCCTAGAAAAAGACGACCAGAGTATCAGACATCATGCACACAGCCCTCCACTGGAGAAAAAGAATGCAGAAGATAGATTAATTAGATATCAAAGTGAGAAACTGGTTGCTGATGCCAGGTGAGGAGGGAATTGAAGGTGACTGGGCCTCCCCACAAGAAGCTAATCACTGTAGGTGGAGGGGCACCAGTTATGGGTCAGAATTTTTTTTTAGGGAGAAATGGGTTCTGGCTGCTTAGCTGAACTCAAAGCCAGTTGAGGCCTTGAGAATTAAAATATTCATGTTACAAATAACTTCAAAATCTCTTCAGAAATCATGCACATACCCTTTCCCTCCCAACTCCCCCTGAGCAGAATCCAGATTACCCGTTTGTTGTCAGGATAATTTTTAGACATACTGGCATCTCTGAGCAGCCATGTTGCTTTGGTCCCTGTATTTAAGGTAGAAACAATGGAATTCAATGCTACAATGAACAACACAAGCTTCTTCTGAGCTTTCTGTGGGAAAATCTACAGGTTCTGAAGGGGAGCATGCTGTGTCGAGAAACTGTTCCCCAGCCCCATGATATTTCTGCCAGTCACACTACCTCCCAAAACGGTAGAGCCCCAAACAGGTTTTCTTCATGTGGAGGGCTTCACAGCTCAGGTGCCAGGGAAAGCACACTACAAGACTCCACTCCCCTGCTTTGCAGCATAATTTTCGTGATTAGATGAGGTTTACTCTGCTCCTTGTCTTGCAGTTTTAGCTTCACTTAGCTCAGAGCCAAAAATATTCAAATTTCATGATCTTAAAAAAAATCATTTGCATTTAAAGAAACAGATTAATGAACATCCCATGCTCAATTGGAATATGGAAAAACATTTATTTTGTTTCTTTAAAACCATTCACATGGTAACAACAAAATGGGTTGGTAATGTTTTGACTGTAGAAAAAGCCATCCTGGAATCCCACAGTTACAAAAATATTACACTTCCAGCCTATAAATGTATCAGTAAATAAAAACAATTTGCAAATTAATTACAGTTTTTAATATGATTCATCTAAATGCCCTATTATTAACCACTGCATTACTAAAACATCAACACAGATTGTTAATAAATCAATCATATGAACCTGAAGTTAGATTCACAGTATTACAGTATTGAAGTATTATAATCAGATGGAATCCCAGTACCCAGACTTCAACTTCTAAACCAACAGGAGGAAGATCTATTTCTCCACTGTCATGTAACATGTACAATTAATTAGTTACACACATGCAAAGTGTGGGGAAACACCCTTATTCTAAAGTGACAGCATTTTAATATCTCACTTTATTTATATTGGTGAAAACTACCAAACCAGAGGTCAATTTCCTGACCTTGTTAGGACACTCCCTACTGGAATCGTGAGCATATGCTTCTATCTCCTGTTTTCGCTGGAAGAGCGGGGGTATGAGTGAGAGGTATTCTAAACTGTAATCTCTATGGTTTGAGTCCTTTAGGTCTATCCTAGGACTCGCTATAAAGACTGCTAGGAGTGCTCCAGGAGTTTGGAGAATGGTCCCTAATCTAATCACATAGCTGTAGCACTGCATAGTGTGAAGTAATTACTAACGCCACATCTCTGTAATCATGTGTAGGTTAGGGACCATGCCTTAGAAAGAGTCTATATACTCAGTATGTTATGGAGGGAAACAGGAGAGTCTCAATGGGGAAAAACAAGCCATGGGTGTTGGGGAAGAAGAAACTTGAAGAGGGGAAGCGGAGGGAGACCGAGAAAGGGAGGATGATGGGAAATCTTTGGGGCTGGAGGGAAAAGAAGGTAGCCGTATGCAAACAAAGTAATGCATATCTCCATATTTCTGTAACTGTGGCTTTACAAGGTATGCCAGACAAGGCAATAGGCACAGAAGAATCAAGAACAGAGTTCCTGAGCAGGTGCTAACCCTGCCTGAAAGAGTGTGGAATCAGAAGCAGTGATATTCAGGTATGATTTTTTTGTTGTTGTTTCGGTCCTCTAGCTATTGGGGTGAGTTGGTTGAAGACATTTCTGGTGCAAAACTGCCTTTAAATGGAAATTCACATGACTTTGCACTTTTTAAAAAAATACTGAACTTAGACCTTTTGTATTATTTATTACTGAACAACGAAAGGTGTCCATCCAGTGCTCTAAGTAACCCATCCCATAAGTTACAAATCACAACATAAACCAAAGATTGCCCCAAATATATTTTTTCCAACCCACACCCTCCTCAAAAGCCTAACATAGGAGAGGAAGATGGGGTTTGCAACATACCCACAGGTTGACAAATCTGTTCTCTGGCATACCATAGGATTCTTATTTCATTTGTTTCATTGTATTTTCCATCCTTAAAATGACATGGGTCAAAAGAATGGTGAGACTCATTTCAGCATGAAAGATACACCTTTACAACCCTATTCAGCTCAATCATTGCCCCCAATGCTGGTGGACTTTGGAAGGGCTACCCTGCTGGAAGGGTATTTCTCTCTTGGTGGTATTTATATAATAAAGGCTCAAGCATTAATTTACATACATATTAAAATACATGTTTATTTGTTTACAAAAGACCCATAAAATAATTAAAAAAAAAAAAAACACACCACACCACATATTTGTCTCATTCCAAAAAAGAATTCCTTTTCTAATCACGTCCTCCTGGAGAAGATGTTGGCACACATTACTCAAAAGGGGAACATTAATGTGATATTTCAGGCAGTTTTGAAGCAAGTGCATAAGAAAAAAAGATTGCCAACAGAAAGGGTACAAGGTGTTTTTTCAGACTGCAAAATTGCACTCTGGATGCGCAAACCTGGTCTGACATTGCAGAATTTTTATTCCCCTATGAAAGCAAGCCACAATGTCTAAGAGAGGTTTGTTAGTCATGCTACTGGTATCAGATATCTATTGCTGGTAGCATTTCTATCATTAGAAACTAAAATTGTTGTTAGTATCTAGAAACGTATATAGTGGTGGTGGAGAAGAAAAAACAGCAAAGAGATAAGAGTAAAAGAAACAGTAGCAGAGTACTGGGTGACAGGGGAGGAAGAGAAAAGAGACTAGAGACAACAGACTAAGAAGAGAAAAAAAAACTGAAGAGAAAACAGAAAAGGGGTGAACCAAAATCTAGGAGACAAAGAAAAGTGTTTCCAACCAGAAACAGTGTTTCATGACAGCAAGAGACAAGAAGCATTGCCGCCAAAAAGGTAAGCAAGTTCAGAAAATTGAAAACTGTCAGGAAGAGTAAGGAAAGACTATCATTTGACAAAACTAAAAAAAAAAAAAAAAATTTTAATAGCTTACCCCTAATTTTTGGTTACTGAAAAGACAAGGTCCACTTCAACAAGTTTCTGAAGTGAACCCTAAGCTTGAACAAATTATTAACCAAAATCACCATTTACTACTCTAAAGGAATTGTTTTGTTCAAAACTGTACATCTTGCTTTGTAATTTTGTCCATCAGGTGGACAAGTTCAACAACTCAGCTAGACATTTCCCCCTCCACCCCCAATTGGCTTACCATTTTTGCTACCTGAAGTAACTCAAGTCTGAAATACCAATGTTCATTGCCATCAATATGTCAGTCAATTTTCTTCAGACCCTTATTTCGCGTGTTATTATTTGGTCTTCTACAGCTGTTCTCTCTCTCCGATGATCCAAACATTTCTTGGGCTACCCATTTTCTCCCTGGGTATGCAAAAGTCATCCAGGGAAATCTGTAATAAAGACAATAATTCCTTTATGTTTCACAACAGAAGAAGTTTGGTTTCTTTTTGTAAGCAGATAAATGACAAATATTCTGTTGAAGAACGTCTTGACATTAAAAAACAGATCATCAAGAACAATTACCATAATGAAAAGGTTGAATGAAAGCTGCAGTCTGATCATCTGAAAACCCCATGTATAATATTTCCAATAAATATAAATATTGAAACTAAAGTCTCTTCAGCAACCAGATTAATATGCTGCTATGCAACATATTTAATTTTTTAAAAGGGCCCAATTCTGTAAGCCCTCCACATACAGGATTCCAACTGACTGCTCCTGATTCTAAAAATACAATAATATTAATAAAAATACTTCAGGTTATTTTTTATTTAAAGGGACTTTTTAAAAAGACATTTCACATAAGTAGCTATCTTCCTTCATTTTTTTCCTAGATGTCCCCAATGAACATACAAATTTAATTTGGGGCTGCTCTCAACCTTATGCACTGCTCTTGTGACATTCTTGGTCCTGTCTTTACAAACTATGCTCCCTGAACCCAATTTAGTGAAGAAATGAATTTAGAATACAAAAATTGCCTTCTCCCTTCTTTGCTGCTGTCTTGAGTCTTGATTCAGGAAGGTTGTTATGCACATGCTGAAGTTTAAGCATGTGAATAAGCCTGTTACCTTGCTGTCTCAGGGCTTTGGAGCTGTATCAATATCAGAACCTCTTTTCTGCACTCCTAGCTAGTGACAATAGTGTTTGTTGGTAATAGACATGCTGGTAATAGATTCAGCCGCTGATTTGGAAAACTGAACAAACGTGTATAAAAGACCAAATTCAGCTCTGAGCAGAAGCTGAGTGCACAGCCATCGATGGCCAGGATGAGTCATTCCAACCGCCAGAAATAGGCCAGGGGTAGGAAAGGCCTGGTCACACTTCTGGCTTGTGGAAGAGGGTGAAGAGTGGAGGCTCCCCAGGAATTCAGTGGGTGGCTCTTAAGACCACTTTATGACTCCTTTATGCTGGCTCTGCCAAGTAGCCATGCTAAAACCAATGAACTTGGCCCGAATAATACAGTTTAGAAGGGAAAGAGGAAGAAGCTCAAGAGGGATAATAAGACTGAAGGCAGCTCCCTTTATTAACTAATAAGGTCCCAAACCTCGTCCTTGTGTATGCAAAGCTCCCAGTGATTACAATGGTTGTTTTGTGCGTATGCAAAGAGTGCAGAATGAGGTCCTAATAGGGGAGAAATAATTTTTAACTTACCACGTGATAAGCTAATTTTTACAACTGCTTCATCGCCTTGTTCTTGATGCATTGTTTTCTTGACAAGGAGAACAAGGAAGGCATAAGGACAGTCAATTGTATGAATTCTTACTTATAACATTTTATAAACTTCTTTAAGTTACCTGCTTTCTAAATTCACTGAGGTGCTCTAATATTTTGCTTTTTTAGTAATAACATTATGCGATGTTGTGAAAACTATCTGTATTTCCCCACTTACCTTCCCTGAGGCTAGTCACTTTGGCCCAGATTTTTAAACTATTTAAGCATTGCTCTATTCAGCGCTGAAAGGCCTTAAATGACTCAGGAGTCGAAGTCTCATTCACAAGTGATTTAGCCCCAGAGCCTCAAAAGCTATTTAGGCACCTAACTCCCCCCCTGATTTCAGAATTTAAATACCTTTGAGAATCTGGGCCTTAGGCACTTAAGAGCCTAAGTCACTTTAGACTTTGCAACATTGAGCAGAGCAACAGAGCAAAAATCTGTGTCTTTAATTTTTGAATTCAGGACTTTTATTTAAAGAATTTATCAGCATAAGCGGATAAGAATTATAAGAATTTATAAGCATTAACAAAGAATCATGAAACACATTCCATGATTTATACTGAACCTATTTATAAAAAAATGAGAAGCAAGCACGTGAATGGTTTACTAAAGTTTCACCTATCTAGACATCAGGTCAAGACTTAAAACATCAAAATCCTTATGCCTTGAATGTTTCCCATTAAATCTGTGTCAAAGTTAAAAGACATCAGGAGTCAAATTCAGCCCTGATGTAAGCCAATGCGACTTGGGTCACAGCTGCTTGCACCACGTCTGAACTTGGCCTAGTAGCATGTTGGATCATAAAAATCACTATAACAATAAGTCAGAACTATGAAACTCATACAGTCAAGTACATTAAATAAAAGAGGCTCCTACCAGTTGCATCATCGGCTTCTGTGTCTAGAAGAGCATCTACTGAAGCCACGTCTGTGACTATGAAGGAGTCTGGTGTATAAGACACTCCTCGCTTGCTGAGACAAAGCTTCTTTGAGATACTGACTCCTTTGCTTTCATCACAGTACCTCACTAACCTTCTGACTGGCAGGCAGGTGATACCACTTCTTGTGAAGGTTTTTCTAGGTTTTCTACTATTCCCCAGGGCAAATTTTAGCAATAAAAGAAGTCCCCGGATCGACTCTGTAGTTATCTTCCCAAAAAAATATGTGTATATATATATCTGTATCTATTTATAGATATAGATATAAATAAAATAGAGAGATGGAGACGCAAGATATTTTTCCCTACCACATCCACCTGTTTTGGTACAATGTTAAATATTCCATAGTTCAGTTTGTCCTCTTTTTCAGAGAAGGAAGAGAAATCTTCATTGAAATATATATTCTTCAGGAGGCATCTTCTGCTCCTCCCTGACCTGTTTCAGGTGGAATTTTCAGCCTGTGTCCTTTTTTCCTCAATGACTGCGTCAGCAAATGACTTATTAATATGTGATGCTGCAAAATCAGAAGTTTCTTTCTCATTATGGCTCTGCAAATAGTTGCAACTTTCCTTATAATTAACAAATTACAAATAAGATGTATGACATTTAAAATTTAGCCTGTTCCAAAATATCCTGATTTAACAGCAAAAAAATTAAAGAAAATCCTCCTTCCCCCGCTCAAAATAATATAAGGCCTGGATCCTGAAAATACCTACACACATTCATAACTTTACTCATGAGTGGTCCCACTGAACTGAATGTAATGTTCAGTGGGGCTACACGCATCTTTGAAGTTATGCACCTGCTTAAATTTTCGCTGGGTGGGGCCTACAAAGTTACAAATTAGTTGTATGAGGATTATAAGATTTGTTTGTTAACCATTTTCTGTGTTTCCCAAGATCCTGAAGTCCATACATTTTCTTTCATCAAAGTATTCAAAGTTTTTCTTACAGGACAGAAGTTTTAATCTATCTCCTAGGAAACTACTTTGTTTTACTATTAAATTCTATCCTAAAACAGAATATGAATTATTTCCTGCTATGAAGCCGGTTTCTTAGTTAAATTGCAGCAGTATCTGTCCCACCACCCAACCTAATACAATTCAATATCTCAAGAACGTTCTCTGGCCTTGGCTCTATGTTATAATTTGCTGCAGTTCTCAATAGCCACTGAGAAGGAAAAAGGCAGAGAGTGAAAAATGTGACAAGTGAGCACTTGTGAGAATGTGAGTGGGATGTGCTGAGAGCTAAAGCAGAACAAATATAGATATAAGTGTCTAAGGATTCAATTCTACTCTTGGGTACACATCACTATATTTTGTGTGGTTCTGTTACTATGGATCTCGAGACTTCAGATTCCCAAGAGAAGAACTGAGGCATGTGAATTAACATTGGGGTTTATCTAAATCCATTAACTCTCACCCATAGACCCATTACAAATATACACCTACTTCAACAACAAAAATCCCTAGGATAAAAAGAAAGGTCTACATGAGAAAAAAATGGCAAGACAAAGTTCAGCTTGACTTGGAATTCTAGACTCTGATGCTGATCTCACACCACCTTTGGTTTTGATGGAAGTACTCTTTATTTACATCAAGGCAAGTGACAGAAAGCTCCAGTATCTACATTTTAGATCAGCGATAACTACATAAGAAAACCAGTTTGCCTTCATTTTAATCATGCTTATTGACATTCCTTGAAATTAAAACTATAAACCATTTTAATTACCTTACTTAGAAAGTGACCATGAAACCTTTTATTCCATGTCAGTTAGATTTATAATACAAACAGAGAACAGTTACATAGCAGTTGTCTAGATTCAAAACCAAGCTTCCTCTCTCACACCAGTCTCAAGTCAGTCTAATAATCTCTCAGCTGACTTCTGTGGAGTTAACACTGAAATTCTGCAGGCCATTCATCAATAATAGGAGCCAATCCTTTATAATAGTTTAGGGGGTGGAAAAATAGCAACACACAGTCCTGTTTTGTTTAGCACCGCAGCTCCCTGCGTATATTCCTTTTTTTTTTCCAATGAAAGTTTCAAAAGGGTTTTGAGTGCACAGATTTGGTACACGTGCACAGCAGCTGGTCTGACGTGATAAAGCAGAACGCCTCTGAAGGAGAAGTTCCTGTCTGTCGGACCAATAATCAGTAAACTAAGAGGGATTTACTCAATAGCCCGTCACAGATCCTATCCTGTCAAAAATCCACTTTTCTGAGGCGTGCCTAAATCTGGTTTTCTGACAAATGGTTTCAGCCTTTAAAAGAAGTAAACAGCAAGTAACTGGTGAACAAAGAGAGATGCTCATCAACATTGTCCCTTCATTTATTCTGAATTATGCACCAGCCATAACTGAACCTTTTGACTTTGTCTGATGTCACAACCCTGTTATTTTATGCAGAGAGATGTATTAAATAATGTTAAACGTAGAGATCAGCAGCGTGACATCTGGACGGTTCACATACTACTACATGCCATGGCATCCTCCCTCCCTCCATATTTCATTCCATTGCAAAAACACAGCTTGTTTGTTTGTTTTTATACCGGCTCACACTTTTACTGAACGAAAGCTTTAAATAGCACCACGGTTTGGTTGCAGTTGCTAAAAATACACATCAGAGAGCTTGAGCGCTGATTTGCAGTGAAACACGCCGCTTTGGGCATCTGTCACATACTGTATCCGCGGTCTGGCAGTGAATTTTAAACCCCGATCCCCAGTTTTATCTACAAACAAGCAGGATACAACAGCGAGAAAACCTCCAGTTGTGGCCGGTTAAAAATAGCTCTGTAGAAGGGGGTTGGCCGGAGGCTCGGGTTCTAAGGCATCGCGTTTGCTACAAACTTCCCACGCCTCAGCGCCAAGGCAATGAGGACCAGCCCTCTCGGGGTCCCAACTTTCTGTGCCCATCGGGTTGGCGCGGGAGACAGCTGTTGGCTAGCAGCGCCCGATGCCTGAATGAAGCGGGGAGGCTGGGGTGCAGAAGGAAGGCAAGGCCCCCTCTGCCCTCCCGCCAAGCCAAGCCCCCTCCCCCGTGCACTTCCACCCCGCCCTTACCAGCGTTCCGCAGCTTCTTATTCCTGTACACGGACAGGATGACCAGCAGGTTGCCCAGGACGTCCACCACGATGGTGAAGATGAGGATGGCGGCCAAAGTGGAAGCCACCCAGGCGGGCCGGTCCAGGCTGAGCTCCGCGGGCGGGTGGGAGGCGTTCAGCCCGCTCCCATTGCCTCTCATGCTGCTCCTCCTCGCCCCAGCCTCACTATCCCAACATCCCAAGGCCACGTTGGGGCGGGAGGGGGGACAAGGAAGGGGCTCGCCTGCAGCCCTCGGGGATCCGCCCGGCTCAGACAGAAGGTGCCCAGCGCGGTGCAGGGTGCCCCAGCGCCTTTCACGGCCACGGCCGGGCTCCGAAGTTTCCCTGAAGTGTGCACGTGCCGCGGAGAGTTACTTTTATAGCCTCCCCTCGCCCCCTCCCCCACCAGCCACAGCAGCAGCCTCCGCCACCGCTGCCTCCAGGTGACATCTAGCGTTGGCGGCGCTCGGCCTCCTCAGCCCCGGACACGTGAGCGGCCGGGGGATTCCAGCCGCCGCCTCCGCCACTGCAGGGCAACAGCGCCCCGGTGCGGCGCTGAGGCGCAGCGGCGGGCGAGCGGTTCATTCATTGCGAGCGGGCGGCGTGTGGCTACGCAGCGGGGCCCCATTCATTCTTTTCCCGGCTCTCCCCATTCACGCGTTCGTTCATTCATTCAGTCATTCATTCCTCTGGACCACACCGCGTGCAGTGCAAGCGTAGGCACCCGTCCTTCCTCCCCTGCCGCTGTAAGCCGAGATCGGTGCCCTTCGAGCTCTGTGTCACAGGATTTGGGGCGGCTTTTTTATTTACTTGTTTTTTACCGGTTGGGTTAATATCTCTTGTTAATTGTACCCGTACTAAATTTGCCCTTTACTGACGGACAGGCGGACTCAGCCACTAAAGTGAAGCCGACGAGGAGAGTGAGAAAGCCCCAAGCTTGGATCTGCTCTGTGTGCTATAAAAAGCTCTTTGCGAAGCTGCTCGCGGGGGGGGAGGAGGGGAACCTCAGGACCCGAATCCCCAGAGCAGCACATGCCATTACTTCACTGAAAGCGAGACAGAGCGAGAGATAGCACCGACCGACTGTCTCATCTTTGCATGAAAATACACAGTGGAGACATTTCTTCCTTTGCAATGCAGCCTCATCTCCTTTCCAGAACGTGATTCGGGGGGAGGATGCATGTGCAAATGTACGATTCTGACACACAGTCTGCTTTCGCCGCTCCCCAAAAGCATGAGAGACAAAATGAGGTGCCATTGCTAAAAAGATAGCAACGATCTGATTTTAGTGAACGTGTTATTTCTCGTGCGTAGTTACACTGGATTCTATAATAGGAACTTCTCATCCCCCAGAAAGTGTTTTCTGCTGAATGTCAATCGCTATATTGAAATACCTCGTTTATGTGATGATATGTCGCATGAGACTAAAAGATGTAACCCGAGAAAACTGATCTGCACCAAATGTCCTAGAAATCACACTTCTATTCGGGACCTGCCAGTTGTGATTTCAAATGGTAATTCACGTTGTGTTTTGCTAAATGCCACAGTAGTGGATCTAACCCAGAGAAAGTATTTGCGCTATTCAAACAGCCATGAACGAGCTCCAGCCCCTGAAATTATGCTTGAAACCTTCAGCAGGGAGCTGTCTCGTGGACTTGAAAGCTAGGGGGGAAAGGGATGATGGAAACCTAATGTCTTCTGTACAAGAAGAAATAAGTTACATTGGGAAGAATGAAAACTCTCGTTCGTTCAATTTATGTAATTTGGGAAACTACTGTTTTCAAATTGTATAAAATGGTCTGCATGTTGCTGGTTATGATTTTATTATAATGGAATTTACACATTTTGAAGTCCTTGCTCATGAATAATTAAAACCATAATGATGAACAGTAACAACATAAGTATGGATCCATAAACCAGTTAAGTCACAAAAAGTCATACATTTTACTAGGAAACTAAGTAACATTAAAATAAGCAAAGTTTAAGAAATGTAGGTAGCTTTTGTTTGCCAGATTTTGACCTGTCATTTATGAAGGAATACAAATAAAATCCAATAGTAGAAAATTCACTCCCTGCCAGAGTTGTTTTTCAAAATGATTTGATGATAATGTTGACAGATATTCACATTAAAAACCTCAACAATAAAGCTATAGGCACCTTTTCCTGCTTACACCCAAGTCTGATAGCAAAATTCCCACTGACTTCCATTGGAGTAAGATTGGGATCCTTTCTACCAGAGCTGCAAACGCTGTTAGAGCTCAATCCGAGCCAGGGAACCCTTGTCTCCCATTGAAGTTCCTATGAGCTGAGGGTGCTCAACACTTGAGAGGAGCAAGCCATAGAGACAATTCTGTGGTGGATTGTGTTTAAGGCTAAAATCCTGCTGGCCTTACTTGAAGGCAACTTTCATTTGTTTGTTTTGTACCAGACCTGATGCCACCCACTGCATTCGATTCAAGTTTTAAGTCTGACTCTTGGCATTTAATCATCCGTTTCAAGTATCCTGTTGCACTGATGAAGGGACTGTCCAACCCTCAATAAATCCTCCATCTCTTAATTTGCCCTTAGTACACTGAGTCTGGCTACAACTGAGGAAGCAGCTGACTGCCAAGTGCAAAATACCCATCCTGAGGGCACGACCCAGAATGTGAAGCAATAGATATCACATCTTATGCAGTAGTCTGTATCTGCCTCGACTTCCCTCCTTTTGACTGGGGTCTTCCATTGCACTACTTAACTGTGCCTCAGTTTCCCTGGTAAAGGAAGGCAGTTGTCTTACCTCTTATTGGGATTTGGATAGGCTTCCTCACACCTTCCCTGCATCATCTGTGTGAAGCACCACTGCTCTTTAAACCTGCCCCACTGGAGCCTGAGACTGCTACCTGCTGGGGCACTCGCCACACCATATACCTTCTCCATGCAGGGGCTGCAGTCACTGGCCTTTGGCCCTGCATTTCTTCTCCAAGTTAGATCCAAGCTGTTCGATCAGTAACATTCTGCCTGTAGCAGATACCCCCACTCTGTTGGCTGCTGCCCAAACAATACATGGCCAGAAGGGTGCCAGTAGGGTGGCTTCACTACCCCTTAGTTTCCAGACACTAGGATAGACCCCTTAGTTTCCAAACCCTGCAAATATCCCTGCCCATCACCCATAGCTCTGCCATGCATGGTGGGAGGGGGCAGGGTGAGGAGAGCCCAAAAAGCCATCCTGGCTAACAGGAGCCACTTGTAGTCCACTTCTGATCAGAGGGCTTATAGGAAGGGATTGGAGGACCATCATGTTTGTGTTGTGATTGCCCTTAGTTGCACTTCTTTACTGTAGCTGCTTTGGGATCTGCCCCACAGGATAGGCAGCACTGGCTACATCAGAATGTAGCACTGATGGAGCATGGAGGCATGTGGATGTATGAACGCAGAACGTATTAAGGAGAAAAAACTGGCAGTTGAGCCTGAGTTAAGTCTGCACTGGATGTTAGGCTGTGGTTAGGACTGACCTGGTTTTAACTAAAGAAAAAAGTGGATCCCAGACACTGAGCACTGAAAGATTTTTCTAGATTCAACACAGGTGATAGCACTTTAGGCCTGGCCAAATGCTTGCATGTAGTTTGCACTGAAAAAGTGAAGGGAGCATTCTACTCCTGCTTACCAAATGCAAGTGCAGTATTAAATCCAATAGTTGATGAGATAGTTGCTCAGAGGACAACATCCAAAAAGAGAACTAAAGATGTCCTTGTCTTACTATGCTTCAGCACTTAAGGATCTGAGCTTCTTGGCCAGTAAACACCACTGAAAAGATTAAATTGAGAGATTGAAGGGCTGTTGAAATGGCAGGTGCCTGCATGCTCTACTGCAGTAGGTATCTTCAGAGAGGCAGCTTTATATGCCAGAAGCTGCAGATCCTTACAGGAGACTGCTGGGTGCTGACTTCCTTGCCTTCCAAAAAGAGCAGGATGGGACTTAGTGTTAGATTTGACTTCGCTTCAGAGTGGGCTTTGAACATATATATTCAAGCATTTGCATTGGAAAATCTCTGCAAATTCTAATCTTCCAGTGACTGCCCCGGAATCCCCTTTGATCTCAACAGAAAGCAATTTCGGAGGTTTCTTTGGCTCATCTCAGAAATTGCTATTCACACTTGTTTTCATCCCTGTTGTTGTGAGGTGGCAGTTTTTGAGAAGGACATCTCACCCTTCAGAAGTTGTTACTGCTACTCTTGGAGGATTGTAGACAGACAAATCATTTAGATGCCACCTGATAAGCAGTATATGAAAATGTCAGGAATAAAATAAAATAAAAACTCTAATTCACAAGATTTGGAAAACACAAGTCAGGCAGTATCATGGACAGTGCATGTGATATCATGATTGCTGCTGCCAAACAAACCACATCATGTGCATTGCTCTTCCTTTTATAACCTCTCTAGTTAGTGCCTTGGAAAACTGAAACTGTCTGTTTTACCACCCCTAAATCAGTTGTGCATTTTGGATTTGTGATTTTCCAAAATGTGACCTAATGAAGTACAGACAGACTTGAAATGAGTAACAAGTGACACAGTAATGGTTGGTGAAAGTAGGTAATTGAGAAAATCAGATTTGAGATTTTTACTTGTAGCCTGATTCTTCCACTTATATTTGTGTAAATCAGGACAAACTACACTGCGATCAATGCATTTAATAGGTGTGAGGTCAGAACCAAGCCTTTGGCAATTTTGTTTTAATGAATTAAATAACACAATGTCATAAATATCACTGATTTGACTTGTTTGTATATGGAAAGTAGGTCGATGAAGCTGCCCGAGTACCCCTGGCAGGTGATGTACCTCAGGGATACCTGCCAGTCACACAATCCTTCAACCTTACTTTGAGTACCTCGCTTTGTGGTCCCTTCTGCTTATTCCAAGTGCTGGTGCATAGTCAACATAACAATTCAGTTCTCTGAACACTTTCTCATTCCTGCTATACCCAAGAATTCTTAATCCTGGACAGCTACTGATTGTGGGAGCTGAACTGGAGGAATGTTTTTGGATATAATGGGCAAGGAGAGGTAAAAGGTCTTATTTTAATTAACACTGGTTTTCTTTTTGTTCATTTATTTCAGTCTGGTTTAGTCAGACCCAAACAGTATTAATTATTAGGAAATACATAACAAAAGTACTGTACACATGACATATTTGATGGCAAAGAGATACTCACCTAGAACATCTGTTTCGCTTAACTGAGGAGCCTCTCTAAAAAATTGAGAACGTGTACTGTATTTAATCAAAAATCCAAACAGGCTTTTGAATAGGTGTTCTTGGGATGAAGGCTGATATGTCTGAATTTGAGTAACTAAATGGCCCAATCCTGCACATGCATATTAATGATTACTCATATGGCTAAGGGTTGAAGGAGTGAGTCCATGTTTTCATTGCAGGTTGACAGATAGGGCTTGATTCTGATGCACTGCAGGTACTACTATAGGGCCTGA